CATTTTGTTTAGTCTACAGTATCAATCAGGTCTGCAAATCTGACGGATACTTAGGGACATGATATTTAAGTTTTGGCTATTGACTGAACCAAACTGCAAGCATATTGTGGTTTTGCATTTTTCTACATGCCACTTCCCACCAGCTTGAATCTTAATCGAGGAGATAGCTTGAATCTTATTCTGAGCGAAATATATTCTGCTTATATATTTCTGTTGTTTTCGTTACCTGAACTGGTTGTGTTGTCAGGTTTCATGTATTATCAGATTTTGATGAAGGTAAAAGGAGTTGCCGAAGAAAATTAGAGCGCCACAATACTAGGAGGCGAAGAAAACCTGCTGGTTCTAGAGGTTCAGTTGATATGGAACAAGGGGCCTTGCAGAATGAAGATATCAATTGTGATGATGATGCTGGAAAAGGTATAATAAACTTTTTTGGTGTTGTTATATGGATTGAGTTTCTATGTTAGTTTATTTATTACTTTGTAAATTTTATCTTCAGTTAGCTTCCTTTTACTGTCTCTCCCTGTGTCTCCTTCCCTCTGCCCCAGTATTTTCCCCTTCTTGGAGAGATTAATTCCATGTATTTACCCACTATACAGATAGCTTATGCATAAGTGATTCAATTGCTGATCAAGAAGCATTGTTAGAGCTTGAAGAGCAACATGTTTCCACTCTTAATTCAGCGACTATGTTGAAGACTGTCGTACCTTCTGCGCTCTCCCTTGAAACATCAATGGATAGAGGAAAAGATAATGCAAAATATTCACTTTCTTCTTCCTACTGTGACAATAAAAGTGCTTACTCAACTTTGGTGGGTCTCTCTTGAATGTTTCTCCTTGCGTAACTTTCTCAGTGTGTTGGTGTACTCACTCTCTATTTGTCTTCAGTGTCCGACAGGTCGGATATCATTCAAGCTTTATGATTGGAATCCAGCAGAGTTTCCAAGAAGACTTCGACACCAAGTATTTTTTAACGAATTATTATTACAGTTTAGTATTTAGAGGAAAGCAAGTCCCTTTCTTCCCTCAGAGATGCATGGAAATTTGGAACTGATTAACACATTGTTGAATGCAATTGTAGATATTTGAATGGTTGGCAAGCATGCCTGTTGAGCTGGAAGGTTATATACGTCCTGGATGTACGATTTTGACTGTCTTTATTGCAATGCCAAAGAATATGTGGGTAAAGGTATTGATTCACCAGATGCTT